GGTGCTCATTTTAGTTCAGTCTTTTCCCATAAGACAGACTATGAACTTCCAAACAATTTGGAAGTGCATTGGGGGGCAGGATTGTAGCTGAAGATAGATAAACAAATAGTCAAGGAATACATTACCACCTTGAACGAGTTCAAATCTCCAGGGCCAGATGAACTGCATACAAGAGTATTGAAGGAACTGGCTGAAGAACTCTCAGAACCGCTATCCATTATTTTCTTGAAATCATGGGAAATGAGTGAGGTGCCAGAGGATTGGAGGAGGGCTGTCCCTATTTTCAAAAAGGGGTAAAAAAGAGGAACCAGGGAACTACAGGCCAGTCAGCCTGACATCAATCCCACACAAAATTCTGGAACCGATCGTAAAGCAGTCATTCTGCAAGCACCTAGAAAACAATGCAGTAATAACTAGAACCCAACACAGATTTGTCAAGAACAAATCCTACCAAACTAATTTGATCTCGTTTTTAATCACATAACCTCCCTGATAGACAGAGGGAATGCTGTAGAAGTAGTATATCTTGACTTCAGCAAAGCTTTTGACAAAGTGCCCCATGATATCAGGTGGATACACAACTGGCTACAGAATCATAGTCAGAGGGTGATGATTAATATGTCCTTCTTTAACTGGTAGGAGTTAACTAGTGGGGTACCCCAAGGATCAGTCTTGGGCCCAGTGCTTTTCAAAATGTTTATTAATGATCTGCATGAGGGAGTGCAGGGAATACTTGTCAAATTTGCAGATGATACAAAATTGGGTAGAATAGCTAATATCCTAGAAGACAGAAACAAAATTCAAAATGATCTTGACAGGATGAAGCACTGGGCCAAAAGCAACAGAATGAAACTCAACATGGATATGTGCAAAGTACTGCACCTCGGAAAAAGAAACCAACTGCACAGTTACAATACAAGGTGGGGGATACCTGGCTCAGCTAAACTACGAACGAGAAGGATCTTGGAATCATCGTACATCACAAGCTAAATATGAGCCAACAGTGTGATGTGGCTACAAAAGGCAAATGCTATTGTAGGCTATGTTAATAGAAGTATAATTTCCAAATCCTACAAGGTGCTAGTCCCCCGCTATTTAGCAGTGGTTAGGCCTCACCTTGAGGATTCTGTCCAGTTCTGGACATCACTCTTCAAGAAGGATGCTAACAAATTGAAACAAGTTCAGAGGAGGGTGACAAGGATGATCAGGGGGCTGGAAACCAAGCCTTATGAGGAAAGGCTGAAAGAACTCAACATGTTCAGCCTTGAGAAGAGAGGATTGACGGGTGATGTGATTGCACTTTTCAAATATTTGAAAGGCTGTCATACAGAAGTCCTCGATCATCCCAGAGTGCAGGACACTCAACAAGGGGTTCAAGTTAAAGGAAGCCAGATTTCGGTTGAATGTCACAAAAAACGTCCTAACTGTTAGAGCAGTACAACAGTGGAACCAGTTACCTCAGGAGTTGGCGAGTGCTCCAACACTGGAGGCATTCAAGAAAAACTTAGATAAGCACCTGGCAAATATGCTTTGATTGTATTTCTGCATTGAGCAGGGGGTTGGGCTAGATGGCCTTGTAGGCCCCTTCCAACTTCACTTTTCTATGATTCTATGATAAGAAATTTTTTCCGTAAGTGGAAAAATATGTCAAGGAAAATAGTGACCTTTTCTTGTGAAACTGTAGGAAAAGTGGATCATGTTGGAGAGGACACAATTCACTTACTCTATGTGCAGAAGCAATGACAACCAAGAAGGCTGCTTTGTAGGTAAGGAGTCTCTGAGATCTGCTATAGCCATCAGCTTGAAGAGTGATTTCGTAAGTTGGTTAAGAACTAGAGAACTTGACCATTGTGGTGGTAGAACTCACACCTCCAGAAAAATGGTCTGTAAACCCTGTAAGAACCTCTTGTGGGTTGGATTCCTGAAATACTCTCTCTCTCTCTCTCTCTCTCTCTCTGTGTGTGTGTGTGTGTGTGTGTGTGTGTGTGTGTGTGAGAGAGTTTTTTATATATACTGTATCTCACAAGAGTGAGTGTGAGTACACCCCTCACATTTCATAAATATTTTAGTATATATTTTCATGTGACAACACCGAAGAAATGACACTTGGCAACAATGTAAAGCAGTGAGTATACAGCTTGTATGACAGTGTGAATGTGCTGTCCCCTCAAAATAACGCAACACACAGACATTATTGTCTAAACCATTGACAACAAAGGTGAGGACACCCCTAAGTGACAATATCCAAATTGGGCCCAAGTAGCCGTTTTCCATTCCCAGTGTCATGAGATCCATTAGTGTCATAAGTCTCAGGTCTGGAGGGGGAGCAGGTGTTATCGCTCTCACTCTCTCAGACTGGTCTCTGGAAGTTCCACATGGTTCCACATGGTAATGAACTACGTATCTGAGGATCTGAAAAAATGAATTGCTGCTCTACATAAAGATGACGTAGGCTATAAGATTTCCAAAACCCTGAAACTGAGCTGCAGCACAGTGGCCAAGACCATACAGCGGCTGAACAGAACAGGTTCCACTCAGAACAGGCCTCTTAATGGTCGACCAAAGAAATTGAGGGCCCGTGCTTATCGTCATATCCAGAGGTTGGCTTTGGGAAATGGACATATGAGTGCTGCCAGCAGAGGTGGAAGGGGGGTGAGGTGGGGTCAGCCTGTCAGTACTCAGACCATACGCCACACTCTGCATCAAATTGGTTTCCAGGGCTGTCATCCCAGAAGGAAGCTTCTTCTAAAGATGATGCACAAGAAAGCCCGCATACAGTTTGCTGCAGACAAGCAGACTAAGGACATGGATTTCTGGAACCATGTGCTGTGGTCTGATGAGACCAAGATAAAGTTATTTGGTTCAGATGGCGTCAAGTGTGTGTGGTGGCAACCAGGTGAGAATTACAAAGGCAAGTGTGCTGTGCCTACAGTCAAGCATGGTGGTTGGAGTGTCATGTTCTGTGGCTGCATGAGTGCTGCTGGCACTGGGGAGCTACAGTTCATTGAGGGAACCATGAATGCCAACATGTACTGTGACATACTGAGGGACGTGGTGGCGTGGCGGGTTAGACCACAGAAGCCTACGTGCTGCAAGGTCGGAAGACCAGCAGTCATAAGCTGAAATCCATGCGATGGAGTGAGCTCCCGTCGCTTGTCCCAGCTCCTGCCAACCCAGCAGTTTGAAAGCACACAAACGCAAGTAGGTAAATAGGTATCACCACGGTGGGAAGGTAATAGCATTCTGTGTCTAGTCACGCTGGCCATGTGACCACAGAAACTGTCTTCGGACAAACACTGTCTCTATGGCTTTGAAACAGGGATGAGCACCACCCCCTAGAGTAGGACACGACTGGACTAAATGTCAAGGGGAACCTTAACCTTAACCTAACTGTGACGTACTGAAGCAGAGCATGCTCCCCTCCCTTTAGAGACTGGGCCACAGGGCAGTATTCCAACATGATAATGAAGCCAAACACACCTCCAAAATGATCACTGCCTTCCTAAAGAAGCTGGGGGCAAAAGTGATGGACTGGCCAAGCGTGTCTCCAGACCTAAACCCTCTTGAGCATCTGTGGGGCATCCTGAAATGGAAGGTGGAGGTGCGCAAGGTCTCTAACATCCACCAGCTCTGTGATGTCGTCATGGAGGAGTGGAAGAGGACTCCAGTGGCAACCTGTGAAGCTTTGGTGAACTCTATGCCCAAGAGGGTTAAGGCAGTGCTGGAAAATAATGGTGGCCACACAAAACATTGACACTTTGTGCCCAATTTGGACATTATCACTTAGGGGTGTACTCACTTTTGTTGCAAGTGTTGTTGTTTAGATATTAATGGCTGTGTGTTGAAGAGTCTCTGGACTTCAGTTACTTACATATATGTGTGTAACTTCTCACCATAATCATTGAATGATTTTTTTAAAAATCCAAAAAAGCTCAAGAAAGTACTGTAGTTGTTAGTCCCAAGTCTAGTAGACACACTGAACGGACGGGACTTCTTATGTCAGCATTTGTACAAGTCCCAATAATTGACTGCGCCTACTGAATAGAAACTAACAATTAGATTTAGCCCATTTGCATTAAGCCCAACAAATCTGAGAAAAACAGAATGCATCTAACTTTTGTTGAGCTTATTACACTATCTTTTCAGTAGTAAAATCAACTGACATACTATAAAATATCCACCTCTGAGAAATTCAAGCCACTAAAATTTTGTGTTTTAAATCCAATCACTTTTGGTACAATCAGACACTGCAGTCTTTCAGGAGTCTAGATATGTTTTAAACAGGTTGGTATGGTGTACTTGTTGAATGTGATTTTATGACCTGTAATTGTTTCCAATGTAAATTTATTATTAGAAACAATTTTTATACATAACTGTATTACATAACTTGTCTTTCTTGAAAACTGTGAAAGTAAAAGAAAAGTTTTATAAATAATGGTACTCTCTAATTCTATACACATTTAATTGTGAGTAAATCCCACTAAGTGGCACTTCTGATTAAGAATGCAATAAATCAGAATGTGTTGCTGCCTTTTTGTTTGACGTGTAAATAACCAATGTGTAGGGAAAGTCAAGTAATGTATACTCTGAAGTAAGTCAATGGTGTTTAATTATAATTAATATATGTAATTTGTATTGAGCATTTAATTTCTATTTCTGCCAGCAGATCCAGTCCTAAAAGCCAACATCATTTATTTTGGAAATTATATATTTTTTCCAATAAAGCATCTCCAGGTCTACAGTCACAGAGCTTGTATGTTACTTTGGAAAAGCAGTTACACTTACAGTTCCAAAGGCATTACCTTCTAGGTCAGTTACTTAATGTCCTAAATTAACTCTCTGCTTTTTCATTATTCAAACAAGCATAAAAATGCAACAGTTCATTGGCTTATGATACAAAACATACCTAACTAGTAAGGACAGACAAAACCTACAATTATAAAAGTCATTATAGTATTTGTCATTACATTGTAGAAGGAAACAGGTAACACCATACTTACCTTAAAAAGTGTCACAGTGATTTCAATGTTTTCAGGAACAGGCCATACAACTACACCACGGTATGGATTTTTTATTCCTGGCTGCCAGCTATGAGCCTAAAGAGACAAATTGGGGGAAAAGGGAAAGCCTTGAGTCATGCAATTATAACCACTGGGATAAATGTGAAAAGCAAAATTAGTCATGTACATGCAGTAGTGATGACTGGCAGAAACATGTGCGATAATGGTCATTAACATTAGGTCAAGATAATTTGGAGCAAACCAGAGCATCAGGTACAATAGCCAAGTGACAGCCAAGTCCTCTGGGAAGTTATCAGTGGTGGGAAATTAAAATTTATTCTCTATGGCTGCTCTTCTGTGGCACTTTTCTAAGGTTCTGCCCGAACTTCATCTTCTGCTGCTGGCTAGGTTCAGGCTGAAAACCTATTCTACCTTCTGTCCAGGTTTAGACTGATGCTTTGGTCAGCTTCAATAACCCAATCCTCTTCCTCTACTTCAAGGAAGACCTTTTCAGTCAACTGAGCCAATAAGAGAAGTAGGGCCTGCAAGAACAGTATTCCCAACACAAGGTTCTAGATAGCCTATGAAAAAACAATAGCAAACCCATTGTCAGTCACTGGTGAAGCACTCCTTATATGCATGCAAAGAAAAGCCTAAAGGAAGTTCTCAGAGCACACTGTTCAGCCACTCAAAGCTGTACAAGCATATGAAATAGGTTCTGTTTCTACCCAATAATATCAGATACAAGTATAGCATGTGGCTTTTAAGCAAACCGAGAAAGCCACCATTATTATCTGCTGCTGAAAGAAGGAAAACAAGAATAGGAGGGATGCTAGGCTAAACTGTGGTAAAACATGGTAATTTGTCCAAACTGAGAAGCATGTGGCCCTCCCTGCCCCCATTACGCAGATCCACAGTGTCAAATTCTTTCTGATATTCACTCCTCTGGTTATGAAATTGCAATGTCCTCTCCCTTCAATGCATCCTCATGAAAAAAGAAATTTAAGAAAGCCATACAGACTGCCAAAGATTTATGTAATCCTTAAGAAACAAATATCTTCTCAATACAAAAGAATCTGGTATTTGACTTGTTTCCAAGAATGCAATTAGACGAAACTAATAACGTGTATAATAATTTGTATTACAGGCAGAATGACTAAGATCTTGGGAATGTTTATTGATCTACAATTGTGGAGTTAAAAATCTCAAAACATGCAGAATCATCATACTGATTGCCAAAACAAATCCTCCCACTTTAGTCCTGAACTTGGTAGAAGATAGCAGCTTGTTTCTATACATCTGTATCAAATAGGAGTCTGTACATACCAGTCACTTGAGTACACAGAGATGCAAAATCCTTGATTCTATAGAAACAGTAGATTAGACAATAAACTTTCCTTACCATGAAAACTCTATGATGAGACAGTGTAAAACAAAACAAGACATAGCACAAAAAGAAAATTCCTATAGTAAAAAGAAAAGAAAAACCTAGAGGGATGATGGAAGAAATACTTGAAATTGTAGAGGACACAGGTTACCATCTTACTGGCAGAAAAGTCATTCTTGAAGTGACTTCTAATGAAGGTGAAAGAAGACAATGCCAAAGCAGGAGTACAGGAGAACTCGTCATTGTTGTTTAGTCGTTTGGTCGTGTCCGACTCTTCGTGACCCCATGGACCAGAGCACGCCAGGCCCTCCTATCTTCCAACGCCTCCCGGAGTTGTGTCAAATTCATGTTGGTTGCTTCGCAGACACTGTCCAGCCATCTCATCCTTGGTCGTCCCCTTCTCCTCTTGCCGTCACAACATCAAGGTTTTTCCTAACATCAAGGTTTTTTCCAAGGAGTCTTCTCTTCTCATGAGATGGCCAAAGTACTGGAGCCTCAGCTTCAGGATCTGTCCTTCCAGTGAGCACTCAGGGTTGATTTCCTTTAGAATTGATAGGTTTGTTCTCCTTGCAGTCCGGGGGATTCTCAAGAGCCTCCTCCAGCTCCACAATTCAAAGGCATCAATTCTTCGGCGGTCTGCTTTCTTTATGGTCCAGCTCTCACTTCCATACATCACGACAGGAAAAACCATAGTTTTGACTATTCGGACTTTTGTTGGCAAGGTGATGTCTCTGCTTTTTAAGATGCTGTCAAGATTTGTCATCGCTTTCCTCCCAAGAAGCAGGCGTCTTTTAATTTCATGGCTGCTGTCTCCATCTGCAGTGATCATGGAGCCCAGGAAGATAAAATTTGACACTGCCTCCATATCTTCCCCTTCTATTTCCCAGGACATGATGGGACCAGTGGCCATGATCTTAGTTTTTTTGATGTTGAGTTTCAGACCATTTTTTGCACTCTCCTCTTTCACCCTTATTACAAGGTTCTTTAATTCCTCCTCACTTTTTGCCATCAGAGTGGTATCATCTGCATATCTGAGATTGTTGATATTTCTTCCGGCAATCTTAATTCCGGTTTGGGATTCCTCCAGTCCAGCCTTCAGCATGATGTATTCTGCATATAAGTTAAATAAGCTGGGGGACAATATACAGCCCTGTCATACTCCTTTCCCGATTTTGAACCAGTCAGTTGTTCCATGTCCAGTTCTAACTGTTGCTTCCTGTCCCACATATACGTTTCTCAGGAGATAGATACTGTTAGATGGTCAGGCACTCCAGTTTCTTTAAGAACTTGCCATAGTTTGCTGTGGTCCACACAGTCAAAGGCTTTCGCATAGTCAATGAAGCAGAAGTAGATATTTTTCTGGAACTCTCTGGCTTTCTCCATAATCCAGCGCAGGTTAGCAATTTGGTCTCTAGTTCCTCTGCCTCTTCAGAATCCAGCTTGCACTTCTGGGAGTTCTCGGTCCACATACTGCTGAAGCCTACCTTGGAGGATTTTGAGCATAACCTTGCTAGCGTG